ATGGCCTCGAGGGGGGGGTGTTTGTAGGCAGGTCGGTCTTGCAACAATTAAGTTGACTACTAGATACACCCAAAAGTTGCAAAGTTTCACTGTTGTCAAACAGTGAGCAGATAATTATCAGGGAGCAATTTTTTTTGTCTATTTTCTAACGAGTAACTTGAATCTTTAACTACTAATGCGCAACAAATGCTAATATGAGAAGACGCCATTGTCAATACTCGTCGTGCTTAACATGCATTAGTCAAGTGGCTCAATCCTCTTTGAAAACAATGGCGCGTCACTTGTGAGGATAGCGCACCCGTGCCTTAAATCACATCGTCCACTTTATGCTTTGTGAAAATATTCAATCTGTTATCTTTTTTCGGTGTGTTTGAGTGGCTTAGCTGACATTACCTTATTACCTTTGGAGCTTTCAAGCTGTCAGAGCACGTTCCTCTTTCGAAAATTTCAGTCCGCTATTTATTGTGCTTTTTTTGCTGCGATCGAATTTTTTGTCCAAACAGGAAAAGTAGTGAGTCACAAAGAGCTTGAAAAATTCTTTTTGCCAGTTTCTCGTGAAAAAAATCAGTGTTCAATGATTGAAGACAAAGCAAGGTGCACGACCCATGTAATCTTTTAATCTTGGTGGAACCACTCTGGCGCAAAATCTTCATTTCTTAAACAGTTCTCATTCAAGCTTCGAAAAACGGAATATCTTGTTATGCAGGATTTTCATGCTATAAACCAAACCCCTGTTATAGAATATCTGAGACTGAATGTTTCCCTCCTCAAGCAGTATACATAGGGGGTATACACAAATGATTCATCTCCTGGAAATAAATAGATACAATTTTTACCTTCTAAACAAGTATGTGATTAAATCTCATTAAATCTTTGCAACTTCCACAGTGATAAAAGGATTACCCTTCCTTTATTCTATCGCTATCTATCAGTTACACTTTTAACTTGGGTGGGAGTAAATAACTCATTAACATTATATAGCTCATAAACACTTAATGACAGACAAAAGGCGCAGTGTATTCATCTTTTTCGATGAAAGTTAAAAGGAAACTGGACAAAGATCGTGTGGTGAGGGATGAGGGTTTGAGTGGAATCAGGGCGCTCTCCACCATTCACTATTAACAAACTTAGTTACCTTCTTCCCACGCGTGCACGACTTCACAGCATTTCTTTTTTTATCAAACCTCCCGCATCAAACATAGCAATCACACATTTTTTTTCAAGGACTTTTAGATAAAGATATCGGAGCAGGAAAAAATTCGAGATTGCCTTCACTTGACTTCTCAGGTTTCTCCTTTTATTTTCTCTCTTGCATTTCTTTCTTGTGCCATCGATTTACAATTGTCAAACAATTGAGTCGGAAAAAGGAAAAAAAAAACAAGTCAAAACAGTCCGTTGTCTTGAAAATGTCATGAACATTTTATCGCTATTATATTACATCGAATGAGCCGCATGATACTTTGAGTAAACTAGTTTCACGAATCAAATAGAAATAAAGGATTTGATTTCCGCAACTAACCGTTTAGTGCCACTGTTTAGCAAGCTCAGATGTATTTTTCATTTGGTTTTCCTTCTTACACTCGTGCGGTATTTATGCGTGCATTTGAAACCTAATACTTATTAGATACTCATTATCATAAGGAAAGCCAATTATTCCCTAGACCCACATAAGCTAACCTGGGAGAGGATCATTTCATTCCTCGGGCCGATTTGGCATAAATATTTAGAATTCTTCAAAACATCTTAACCTCATTACACATATCTTTTTTCTAATATTTTCAACTGCGTCATTAAGGAAACATGTACTATAATTTTTTCGATTCGTGGCAATTAGCAGCGATTACAAAAGAATTACAGCTTCCGTGCTGGATCATGGAAATCAGCAGCTATGGTCTGCCAATCATCAAAGACTAGAAGTAGGAATATATTTTTCATCAGAGTCATGAAATTGTATATATCCTGAACTTGTGCCCTATACTGGATGGTACCATTCCAAAATTGGACCCCTCTGTTGGACGAAAGCAACCAGAATAATTTGTTAATTAAAGCTGTTTCATACACATGAAAAAAGCTAATCGTGTTATAAGGTGTTATTTAGAAGGTTCTCTATCGTGCTTCCTTCATTCAGCTATCTTACAGTAGTCACCTGTTTTCCCTTGAGTTAAATTCATTGTTGTCAACGTTCCTCAAGCAGTACTTTAGCAAAATGGTTAAATAACAGCCTTAAGTATTGTATACCATTAACGCTAACGAACAGAATGTTCTCTTTACTGATGAAAACCCTTTTACATCTTTACAGGAAGTGTTGACCGGACGTCCACTTAATTTCGTAAAAGTACAATGAAAGAGGTTTATGTATACAAACATTTGATCTAAGTAGTAATATCCGAGCAATCCAATCATCGCTCCATGGCTGAGAAGTAAGTTGTTTTGGCTCGGCTTTACAACAAATGGCACTTATAAGTTTGTGGCACTCAGTTACTGAGCAAGGACACCTGAAGGGGCAAAGTGTTTTGCGGTTTGTTGATCACGCTATTTACTGCCTCTGGGCACAATGATAAAATTTTTATGTCACGCGAACCTACCGGTCAAAAAGAGACAGATAGAATATCTAATCTGTCAACTGACTTGTCATTGAATACCGTTCCGTCCCAAGCCCTTGAACAGTGGATTTGGTACGATAGGTAAATCCCTCGAAGTCTCACAGTTTTGCACATTACAACCAGACATCTGGGTCAATAACAGAACAGGATCAATTTTCGCCGCGTCATTCAACCAACAATCAAAAGGAGACAGCGCTTGAAGTCATAAACTGAATTTTAATTTTGCAATAGTTGAAACGTCTATCGCTAATGCGGCCAAGTGAGATTGCCATCCCGTTGGGCTGCCTGTCATTGCTGATCGTAGTTACTAACAGCTGTGTGTGCCTCTTGGTGTATTTACATCCCAAGCTAAGGACTTACACCAATGGATTCGTTGTGTCCCTTGCAGTGTCAGACATACTCACAGGTGCCCTCCTTTTGCCTTTGTACATTGCTTTGCCAACGCACCCTGTCACAGGATACATCGTATGCGCTATTTTGCTTACGGGGGTCGCCAATGTTTTTTTAGTGACTTTAGACAGATACCTGGCTATAAAAAAACCTTTTAATTACTATGCCGTCATGAGGAGATATTTCTTCAAATTCATTGTAGGTTCTTGGATTGTTCCTTTGTTTGTGTCAATCATTCCTCTCATTTGGGGGTCAGAAGACAGTATACTAGCTCAAACAATCTACATGTTTATGCTACAAGGTATGGGCGTTGTTGTGCCGTATTTATTTGTGTGTATAGCCTACTACCAGATCTTTCAGCAAGCTAGGCATATTGTCAAGCGGTTACGACGAGATAGCAGTCTCGGCAGCTGGCGAGGCAAACGGGACAACAAAGATAAACTGAAGAAAAACTCTAACAGCACGATGGCTTCAGAGACAAAAGTTGCCAAGATGTTTGCACTGATATCTATTTCCTTCCTCTTAAGTTGGACGCCAGTGTTATACTTGACCAGCATATGGTATGTATATGCAATCACTGACAAAAACACTGTGGAAATGTTATCGCCGGTGTGGCTCTTGGAATTCTCTTTGTTTACTGTCGCACTGGGCTCTGCGGTCAATCCAATAGTCTACTCTTTCTTCAAACCCGACTTCCGGGGCATTATCAAAAAAAGATTTCCTAACCGAACTCCTTCGTCAACTCTGAAACAGGATTCAACATATGTTATTGATGTTGCTGTGGTAGTAAAAAACCTTAAAAATGAAAAACATGGCAAAGAAACCGACCTATGAGAACTGTGAATATAACGCTTGGAATTCATCAAACAGAACCAAACGCCGCCTTAAGATAACTCTACTATGTGTGTGAAAAGAATTTGTTATTTTTTAGTTTCGCTGTCACTAATTGATTCCAAACCAGCCAAAATACTTAGTAAATACTACTAATCAAACAGCCCGTTACAAGACCGCCGCGGGCATGAACAATTAGTCCTATCACCACTTAATGACTTAATCCAAGAATATTTTTTCACTTTCATTAAATCAATAGTTATGTAACTTATGTTGGAAAATTAGTTTCACAGAACTCGGCGGATACATGATTCGTGAGTTTTGTCTGACAACCAGATGTTGCATATAATGGTACTTAGCAATTTTTTGGAGAAACGTGAAAAGGAGCACGACATGGCATGTGACACTGTTCAACTTTTATGATTATCTTTATGCTTACGAGAAAACTGGTATCAACAAGTGGCAGATATTTAATTAACATCGATATGGATCATCGAAGTGGCTGAAATCCGTTCAATAGATTTAATGTGGTGCTTACTCGCCATATGATGACTTGAGATACGGAAATGTTAGCCTTATCTTTTAACACCCCAACCCCTATAAAAAAGTAAAACATGCCGGATAAAAATTCCGTTTGTTCTTGTTGTCATAATCGGTTTAAGGAATTCTTGCCCCGTGCGTCGCTTGATGTAACTATGGTGAGAGGGGGGGCAAAGGTTAGATAGATAAAACAACGAGATTAAAAATATGCGCATGAAACCGGTAAGAATAGTAAACCAAAGATGGATAGCTACCGAGAAATACATATAAGAAGAAAAAATTAAATCAGTAACATCACAGTGTATTGTATAGAGAGACAGATATCGGAAAATGGTGGCAATGATTATTTACAGTGAAATAACAATTGCAATGAAAAACAATCCAATTTGAACTTTATTCTTACATCTAAGATAACCGTTAACTGAGCTTCGTTTGATGCATCTGTTTATTATTCAGTAATAGTTAAAAATATATCTAAGACTGAATTGTTATATTAAACCAACTTGATTTCTTCAAGTGTATATTTAACCCTCAAAGCTAGCAATTGAAGGTCTATAAATTGATGGATTGATGGATTGACCGATTCATCGACAAGATAAGAAACGACTATATCAATCATTTCGGCTCGTGTTTGAAAACGAGGGTTGTTGACAACTCGTTACAACAACCACGTCTAGCTTTTTTTTATCACTATGAAACGTTCTTCTTGGCACGTTTACAGCACATCAAATTACCTGTACCGAATTGGGTAAAGCCGAAGAGAAGGTAGAGCGATATGCTAAGTTGCTGCACATGTTTTGTTCGCTTAGATATACTGTGGCCTACCTATGAACACATTTCGTTTATTTTGTAAATTTTCATCTTAAGAGGAAAAAAATCGTCCACCATCTGCACAACAATCAATCTTTTCTTGGCTATGGTAAACACTTGAACAGAGGACGAAAGAAAATAGGTAATTCCGCAGAGATGTAAGTTTCCAAATTTTAAAAACTAGCCATACTACTTAAGAAACATTTCCAGAGACCGACGCAGTAAAATAACGATCTAGTTAGCCAACAAAAAATTAGGCATATTCTAATTATCAACTTGAATTTTTATTGGCCAAGAATTTGATCATACCCGTTTGCGAATGTGATAAATTAAGACAAGACATTCTAAGATCTGAGACGATCACTCACAAATTATTCGCTAATAATGAAGTGGCTTTCGCTTTTTAAGAGAAAGCTAATTTAAGAGATACTGAAAATTCAAAATTAAATGATTGTCGCAAATGTTATTCGCAATTTGCGGCATGAGTTCAACAACACACAGCTACAATTATCTTTAGGAGCGTAAAGAAAGCCGCCAGGCAACAGAAACATTTTTGAGAAAAAAGGAGTCTTCTTTGCAACCTTTAAATCATTTTTCTTTTTATAGTGAAAATCAGTTCTTTATCTGTTTGATCAAGTGAGGAGGTGAACATGACCTTTAGCATGAGAAATGATCATCCTGCAGACACGATTGTTTTAATAAACATCGTTACATTATCGCCTCTTTCACCTGAGCGGGCCATTGATTTTCACGCAGAATTTTGTGGAATCTTAGCCCTTAAACTCTTCAACATCTTTCATTTTTCACAGAACTGATTTTAATTTCGCCTACAATTCGCTTCCTCTAATTACAAATTACACTCGTGCGTGGTTCAGCTGCTGTAAAGTGTATATTTGTAATAAGGTATACCAATAGAAATCAAGGTGGTTTTCCAGTGGAAAGTGGGCAATATTGATGCGGAAACACAACAGGCTTTCGACTTCCCTTCGTTCCTGTGACTCATGATGGTGTTTTACATAAACGAGGAAAACATTACCAAACGTTTATCTTGGTTTTCGCCTAAGTATGCCCATTAGCTCTCTTCGTATGCAAAACAAGACTGTACTTAAGTGTATTTTAATGAATATAATGTACTTGCTCTATGGCTAGTCTCTTCATACTGAAGAAAGCTTTGTATGTCATTAACGAATCTTAATTGCTCTTTAGTGCATTTCAAAGCGTTGAACAAGAAAATAAATATTGTCTCATGTTTATGCGACTGAGTAGCACCACTGAAGTGGTTGGTTAGTTTTCTTTTTCAAAGGGCAATTAAGATTCATTTCCGATCTCAATGTTTGTTGTAGATTTCTCAATAATTGGTTTTCAGGATCGAGAGGTTGCACAAAACGTGATAGGAGTATCAACACCGCAAAAATATCCGTAAAAGTAACCAGTGCAAATGAAAGTAAGAAATAGTACTTTAATCAGGCAAACTGAATGCATCCAGGATCTTGTAAAGAGTTGTGGTGGATTTCAATTGTACACTCGGAAGCCTTTATTGCTTTTTAATGAGCTCTCGTGGGACGTTACAATTTATTCATAAAGGAAGGAAAACCAACAACATTGAAATCATTGCGGTACTACGCTCAGCACGGGATTAGGAACATATCAAAGATTTTCAAGATTGTGGATTGTAGAATAGATTCATCGCTTGAACACCTACGAGAGACAACCACAAAGTCGGGAATAACCTTGGTACTGGTGATCAATGGCAACAAAGTACTACCATAGTCAACTCTTCGGCAATTTTATCGCACCAAAACAAGCTGCCCACAGAGTTGAATACGTTTATTAGGAAAACACAAAAGGAAGACAATTATAGAAGTCAGCGCTGCATCAAAACGTGCTCTGCCGAAAAATGGCTGAAACTGATCACAACGCGGATTTTGTGGTAGTATCTCTGAGCATTCTTTCAATTCTCATCGTTTTATCGAACCTTTGCGTTTGCCTCTTGGTTTATTTCCAGAAAGATCTTCGAACCAACACCAATTGGCTAATGGTGTCACTCGCCGTGTCGGACATTTTAACAGGAGGAGTTTTGCTGCCTGTCTACCTCATCAAGCCTTCTTCGACTGTAACAGGTTATTTAGTGTGTATGATATTGCTCTCTGGTGTTGCAAATCTATGCACTGTGACCTATGATCGATATGTTGCCATAATGAAACCACTGGAATACTCATATCGGGCGCCTAAGAAACTCAAAATAGGTCTCGCACTTTCGTGGGTGCTTCCAGCAATTTACTCCTTACTCCCTCTGTTTTGGGAAACTGATTCAACTCGAATAATACATAGGGCATATATGGTCTGCATGATGTTTTTCGGCATCATCCTGCCTTACATCTTCATTACGTTTGCCTACGTACGAATGTTTAAGCAAGTTCGCAGAAGCCTGACAATGAAAAAGAATTTGGATTCTCTTAGAGTGCACAAGAACGAACGAAAACGATTGCATTCTGAAGCCAAAGTAGCCAAAGTTTTCTCCATAGTTGCTTCAGCTTTTCTACTCTGCTGGCTACCAATCGTCTACATAACAACTGCAGACATCATCTTTAATAGACCTAACATCATCCCATATGCACTGTCCATTATTTCCTTTTTCACCATAGCAACCAGTTCATTGGTAAATCCACTTATGTACGCGTTTCTGAAACCAGATTTCAAGAAGGCCATCCGGACTTGCCTTCGTGAATGCACTCGTAAAGAAACAGCATCCACCATTCGCAATCTTCCGCTGGCCGCTTTAACCATCGGAGGACCCGAGAGGATATACGAAGCAAAATTACCTAATAACAATTCAGCAAAGACCGAGGAATTATTATCCAAAGAAAATAATGACTCTCAGGAGAGGTCTTCCCAAAGTTCAGTTCATTGTTAATGCGTTTTTAAAAACTGCAGAAGGATGAATTTGTTGACTGCGTCTGCAATTTCAGACCTAAATGATACTACTCCTATGATTATTTTTTTTAAATCACACATTGTTGAATTATTTGTACATAACAGAATATCGTGTTAATGTAAAGAACATGCTACAGCCCCTTGCAAAATATAACCAATTTTTCGTTCGTAGCTTGTATAAATCATATCATTGTCATTTTCTAAGTTATCTTTCACTTGAGTCTAAGGAAGGCCGATAAAATGGTTCTATGGCAATTTTTTTGTCAAGATGGATGGAATGAAGGTTTTGCTTCCCCGCATCTTACCTGCTGAGGAATCAAATTAGAAAAAAAATTTCCAAGGACATCATTGTCTAAAATTAGACTTTAAAGTCCAAAATTGGAAACTAGTTGCTAAAATCCAACGCAAGTGTCCGTAAAATCAGCCATCAGTGTCCAAATTCGGACAATAGTGTCTAAGATCGAACAGTAGTGTCCAAAATCGGACTATATTGTCCTGAAAATCGATAAATGGTGTCCAAAATCGGATACTAATTTCGATTAATCGTATAACAGCCTCCAACATTAAACACTTTTGTCTAATTGTGGACCACAGTGTCTAAAATCGTCATCAATGCCTAACTTCATACGAATGTCGTTTCTCGGATTCTGGAAAATATTCTCTCCTGTGTCAAATATTCCTTGCAGCACACTCATAACAACTGATGCAAAGGGTCAAACTATGAAATCAAAACAAGATATAATTTAGAGTTAGGGTAGGAGCAGATGAATGTTTTTGAAGCAAAAACGGCATACACTGAAATCTGTTGGTTTTATGTCGAATAATAATTGCAGTACCATAGGGTATTGATTGGTGGACTTTTACCTTTCCCTCATTGAACCCTTTGTTTCAATGAATTAACAGTTCAAGTAGCTCAGTTCGATTGACGAGAAAGTGCTTTCTCTTTGTCAGTTTTGCGTTGTTGGCAACAATAGCGGATTAGTTTCTATTTCCTATATCAGGTGAGCTAATTCTGACAACAGGTGCGTTTGTTCATTTCGTGTTGATTTGCCATTTGTCATAATTATCTTATAACATGAATACATGTCATCAAGAAGTAGCAGTTTCATAAACTGTGGCAATTTTTTCATGGGTTCAAATAATTTTTAAATTCTTAGGTTCAATATCCAATACTGTATTTTTTGATCACCAATGCTTGTGCTTATGCTCTTGTTTGGGAGAAACACTACCCCTTTATATAACCTTTGGATTTACTAAAATTGCACACGAATGAAAGATGTTGGTGTTGGTGCTGTTATTTTTATTGTCCTTATCGTTGTTTATGCTGTTGTTATTGCAAGTGTTATCCGTGAATGAGCAGAAATCAGAACATTATCCATGGTAATCCTTGTTTGGCTTTGATTAAGGGAATATTCCATCGACACTGACAGAAGCAAACATACGTGTTAATTAATATGCACAAATGTGATTGAGTGACTTACTTAAACAAAGCTATACAATTAAGAACAGCTTGGTTCAGTGTTGTTCAATCTAATCTACTTCACGCACAAGTGATAAATTCACTGGTACTCTGTGAAGATTCAATTTTCAATACATTGCATCATGAAGATGTGCGTTTGGTTATTGATTGCTCTGGCAATAACCCCTAAAGGTGGAGAATCCTCCCCTCCAATGGGAAAGGTATCTTCTGACTTATCATTTAATTAAATACTTCAGGATTTTCTTGATAACAACTAAACCATGTTTCAACGTGGCATTTTATGTCCATTTTTCTTCAAAGAAATTACACAATTATATCGAAGAAAAGGACTCCACTCGCGATGAACAAGGTATGTTCAACAAATGGTATAAGAAATTCGTAGACAGTGTAACGAATAGCACTAACCCTAACTCTTACCTTGAAGCTTGAAAATAAAAATTTGTAGACTCGATTGATGTAATTCCCTTCTGTTCGATAGTCTGGTCTTTGCTCCCGAGCTACCTCTCTCCAAAGGTCGCGAGGAAGGTACACTGGCAATAGAGGGCCTATGCCTTCATCTGGTGCAAACTTAAAGAAATACACGTGCATACCACCCCAGTGCAAATGCAAACACAAGTAAAATCATCGCCGCAAGAGATGAAAAATGTTCAGTTTCTTGCATGTTTTTATCTTTTTTCTTCTAACCAGATAATTTAGTGACGCGGAAGGAGAGGAATGTTGGGCAATTTGGCGCCATGATCGCTTGTGAAGTTAAAGATCTGAGATCGTCAGTCCTTAACGGCTACGGGTGCTTCTGTGGATTAGGAGGGAAAGGGAAACCTCTCGACGACATTGACCTGTAACTATAAATATTCTAGCCTTGTAACGTTTTCAGGTTCTAATTCAGAAGTAGCTGTAAAACACATGTAGAACTAAGTTTTAATGGACGGAACCAAGGATATATTGTTAGAAACGGCTATAATCGACGCGTTTAACGAAAGAACACAGATTATCTGTTCTCTCTATGGCTTTAGCCCCCCCTACACCATGATCACAAGAAGGACGACGTTTATCAACAGATGTGGAACCTTATTTGCACATTTCCCAGAAAAACTTTAGACGTTAATCTCCGATAGGGCATTGGCCCAATTGATCACATGTTACGTTAACCAGTGAAAGAAATTTATAGCATACGAAACTATGAACAAAAATAAAACAAAGTAAAGAAAAAACGAAAAAAAATATCAAAACAAGCAATCAAACAAACGAAAACAGCAAGAAAACAGTATTTTATGCACAAAAACCCTGCGAGAGAGGTGTAAACGTTTTCTCAGATATCTTAATGCTTGTCTTCTTTGTTCTGTAATTTTTCTAAAGCTGATTTTCAACTCTTTCTTCGTTACCGATATCATAAACTACAAAACAATGCATAATAATAGTTCTTTTCACATAATCTCTTCGTTAGATGCTGCTATGTCCACGACAATTGTTATGGCGACATACAAAGAACAAAGATATGTGGCCCAGATCCTAATGCAGTGTATTATGTGACATACCGGACACAGGGGTGCAGCGGCTGCAGTAAGTGTACTTATCAATCACAACCTCAGGGTTCAACGTTTGATTTTCAAGATGTGCCGGGGGGGAGATAAGAGTGTTAGTGGAAGGGAAGGCCGGTTCAGTGTACTGCTGGATAATAAAACTCTCGAGATCCATTTGCAGATACTGGCTGCGTTTTAGAAATACTAAAGGTTATCAATGGATATATGTTACTTTTCGAATTCAGGAGGATATCATTTCCTGTGGTTCCTTGGATATGGAAACAGCAAGTGTCAGAAGAAGCTCTGCGAATGCGATGGCGTTGCGGCCCGTTGCTTCAAAAGCCACTTCTCGAAGCTGCAAGATCGTTACATAAACTATGATAAATCAAAGTGTTAGGAATCACCTCAAGCTCCGAAACTCTTTCTGCATCTGAACAATAATAAAAGATATGAAGTGAAATGAATAGCATTTTCAGGAACATGAAATAAACTTTAGTGGTAGCTGTACTGAAAAACAATTTATCTAATACTAATACAATGTATCAGAAATAGACTGATTTCCTGAAAAGAAGCCTAGCTCAGCTGATTTTTAAGACCACACCTAACTAAAATCAATATATGAATACTGATAAACCTCTAGTTTATCACTAGCCCTTCATCCGAACCAAAAGAAATGAAGGCAAAACATTAGAGGAGTCGATATTCATCCAAAACTGGACACGTTGACATGATCGAAAGGAACACTTGACTCCTGGATATTGTTGAGTGTGACCGAAACCCCTTCTTCTTGCAACTGCTTCCTCCGTGAAGGAATTAATTGTGGAAGAACCTTTTCCAAAATCCACCATGACTCATGATTGTTGAGTTGCTAACACAGCACTCAAGTGTTTCAACAGCTTACTACGACACATTCTATATAGTTTTCTATAGAAAATTTTTTTAATCCTTTACACCCTAACATCAGTATGCATATTCTCGCGTAGCGTTCTCTATACATTTCCTTGGGTGTTGACACGGAAAGTTTGTTTAACAATTAGGAACTAAATAAGGAAAGTTTAGACAACTAAAAAAGGAAAGTTCTCTTTTTTCTCGTGACCTTGATGCGTGATTCAGAAGTGATATTGTAGTGTCGAGGTTAATGCCAACATATCACTCAGAATTTTTCCCTTGAAGTAATATGTTATAATTAGTAACCATGATCATACAAAAATCAAGTAATTATCCCCAGCAAAATATTCTGACTTGTCGGTCTACTTCGGTGCGTTTCTTTTTTTCGGAGAACAACCAAATTGCTTTACTACAAAGGGTCTTTAAACTGAATCTTATCGGATGAGAAATTCGCCCGGTCGATATGTGAAATTACTTTTATTAGATGATTTTCTGCACTGCTGGTTGTTTCAGAGAAAAACGCCTTTGCCAACTCATTTCTTGAGCTATTTGAGAAGTTACACGTGTACCACAAGTAATTGAATTATACACCTGCTGCTTGGTCTTTTCATTAACCTGTCATTTTCATTATTTTTTACACAAATATCTCTTGCTTCGAGTCTCTAGAATCGGACTTAATGATGCTCACGAGTAAGTTATTAAAAACTGCTCATTTTTTTCCGTGTTATTTGAAACAAATATTAATTTAGTAGGATGTCACAATGTTTTACGGACAGTGCATAGTGATTCCAGTCCTTTCCTAAAAATATTTTAAACTGATGAATGTAATTATCCATATCAAAGCGTTAATAGGATAATAATTATCTCAAGCTCGCCAAGATGTTTTCTTCAATATTTCAAGACGAAACAATTTTAACATTACCACGCTTAAGACACTTTACTAACCGTCAATGATAACATTGTCCCCTCTTTGTTAAAAGCAAAGTAATATGAAGAGTTCATTATCAGTTATTCAAGTTTTCAGTTTGGGGCTTTTAGCGTCAAATACAGCTGGCTCAACAAAATAAACTATCTTAGTTGAAGTTAGGAACACCTGAGTACACAGAACTGTCAAGTATACAAATAAGTGGTTATTTTACGATACTTCATCATGGCCATGACAACATTAACGTACGAGTGGTTGATCTTTTCATTCTGGCACCAAATCAGCAAATACAGTACATATCGCGCTGAATTTTAACTCCTCACCGAGCCAGTTCGCATACAGTGTACTTGACTCCGAGTATATTGATTCTTGTTGGAGTTTTTTCATTCAGCTGTCAAGAGTTTTGATAGAATCTCTCCGAGTACTCAAACGCTTTTAAATACATGCCATTCTGATAACAGTAGTGCTCAAGGATTTTATTTGGAGGTTTACCAGTGATGATCAAACCAGAAATTTAATCGCTTTAGTGCGTTACATTTAAACTAGTTTCTTAAATCCTCGTCAATTTCCCCAGTCAGAGTCAAGATTCACTTCAAATGTTAAGCCCACTTTTCCAAATCTTGAAACGTAAACGTTGTTTTGACTTAATGTGATTCTCATTGCATTGACAACTTTGAAAATCAACAGGCGTTTCTTGGACGCGGAATAAAATAATTTTTCTCCAGTTTAGCCCCATGATCCTTTGCGAAGTTGGAAGAAGCCCGGCTAGTTGACGAGATCGACGAGTAAACATCTTATAGCCTATATTGCAAATCATGGGTACTTAGCTAACATAGGACAAACTGAAATTTCAGAAAATTAGAATTTCTTGTAAAATTAACGTCTTGAGTTGACGTCGTAAAAGTTCGCCACTCCACGTACTTTACTGAAGTTCTCGAGATGTCTAACAAGTCGTTTGATCTTTTATAAATTCCTTTGGCTTTTTGAGGTGTTACTACATCTATGATCAGTGTTATATTGCCATAGAGAAGAGTAATATTTGCGATTCGTTTCCAGTGTTATACATTCTTTACAATAGAGATGGCTGCGGTGGATGTCGTCAATAAACTTCCACAAAAGTATTTGAACGTTCATTTTTACATAAATCTTGTTTGGTTTATTCCTAAAGCGTGATTGCATTTAACTTTTCATTCTTATTTTGTTCAGTCAAGAGTGTTGTTATTTCCCTTGCTGTTGTTGTCGAAGAATTATTTTAGAATTGTTTATTGATTTCCCTTTTTAATTACTATAAGATACATCCCCAATATCAACTGGGCCGCCTTCCTGATGATAACTGCGATTTTCAGCATTCTTAAAACTCAAGGGCCTCGAGCTTATCTCTTTAAGGTCCATCTAAAAGCTGAAAAGCAAAAGTATTTATTATAGATCGAAATCCTTCCCTGGTATTTCGAGAATACCACCTTGTTGAAGCATCAAAAACAGCACATGTATTTCCCGAGAAGTATATGCTTTACTGACGATAGCTTTCAAAGAATTTTCAATGAGAGTTCAAAACGTCAATGGTCCACACATTATTCAAGAACTAAATAACACATAGCGTGGACGTAGATACTTTGGGTCAGTTATTTACACGAGGTCTGACCCAAACCGCGCTTTCACGCAAGCGGTGGGCCTAAGGGATTTTTTTTATAAAAGGGTTGATTCAATTAAACAGATGTCCTTCCACTATCAGCATACGGACTTCTCGAGACTGTCCACAAAAATGAATGTTCAGATAAAAGGTTCGGCTAAGTTGAAGATGGCTTAGAACATATTTTTGTTAAACAACGGCTAGACTTTGTTTAAATAACCGGCCCTTAGATTCTGGATCTGCCCTGTCCTTCTATTATCGTCTGGTATTGATTTCGATGTCCCAGTTATGCATTTCAATTCAATGGTCACATTGTATTTTATTACCAGGAGGGTACTCGAAATGGTACTGCCTCAATAGGAAGAACTCACGCTGGATGAAGGAGGTCTGTGAATGCGACAGTGTAGTGGTACGATGCTATAAAAGTACAACTTCAAGTTTCGAAATCATTACAAAGACTACGATCAATCAAAATGCAATAACTTTACCCCAGTAATATTGTTAATGATTCTTGACTTAAAGTTGGATTACCGCCATGAAAGTTATTGTTATCATGAGCTTTTACGAAATTCAATTTTACGAGAATCAGTATGTAAAGGGTAATTGAGAAAATTATCCCTCCAAATCATTTCTGTGCGAGCAGATTGACATGGTGAGAACAGATCAAATCTTGCCTTCAACTATGATGTTTTATCAAGACCACATACCAAAGTGGGCCTCAGAGAACCTTCCAAAACTTAAGCCTAAGCAATTCTCTTAGGAGAAGCCTCAAAAATACCTCTGATTAATGTAAAAGATTTACCATTTACTTTTTCAATGTGATTTACACTTTTGCACTATTACAGCTGAAAAAAAGCTGATCTGTAATAACCCTTTAATTCTTTTGCTTAACGCAATTCTCTAACCCAAGTCTAAAACATACCGAGTGTGTGATTTCAGCAGGTGTATAAAGAAACTTGGTTATTAGACGGCACAGTGCACACATAGTCGTGCAACAGTTTTCTTCCCAATATTAGAAATGAGTTACGTTCTGGTTTTTGATGAATAGGGAGGATCGTTAGCCGTCTGGAAGCCTCTGGACCACTAGAACAGTATTTTATAAAAATAGAGCGATACAAACTCAAACACAAGTTTCCTTTAAGCTAGTCATCTGTTGAACAGGTTAAAACGAACACTATTATTATTTGAAAAAAAAAATTTACGATGAGAAATGTCATATCATATCGTGTTTTAAAGGAGCGATGGTCAATATTTTCTTTATGGAAGGAAGAAGAACATTATCCGTAAATACAGCGGTGCTTTGGTTAAATGAACAATGTTTCATCACCTTGAGTTTCAATGGAGCGATGGTCAACATTTGGTCGGCAGTTAAATTAAAATGTAGTTTTGTCTAGTCGTGAACGTCGTAACCGTATTTGACTCTGTCAGGTTGTTTATCAACAACTGGATTTTGTACACAAGCTTGTTTTTTCTTGGTCGCAATCTGCACAGGTGGCTGAAAAAAGCTTCGTTTAAGTATCTAATTCGTTTAGAGCTTCTCCATTTTTGCCAAGCTTCCGAAGTGCAAGATGATTCTTGCGGCGTTTATTCTCCTAATTGGAATCTCCTCTTCAGTAGGTAGGCATGCTCTTTTTTTTTGTTTTTGTTTTTTATTTTTAAAGAACTGCTGTTAATAACTATATTAAGTAGCAAATGAAATTTTTAGGACTTACCACGAGGTATCTAATGTTAGTTAACTTGATCTCAACTATACGATATCCAAAACTTATAAATTTGGTGTAAGATTCCGACAGCAGGGGATGACGACAATTTCACATTGTCTTCAACTTATTATTAGAGAGTGGAAAAAATAAGCTTCCAGCAAAAGCGATCATACTTCACTTTAAAAGGAATAGAGGATTCGCAGACACAGAAATCTTAGAGTCGACATTTTTCAGTTCTGCACGCAATACTCCATCTCGAGCATCACTTTAAATTTATCGTCCTTTTCGTTTTCTGTCTATAAGCTGTCTATAACAGTATAAGGCCATAAGTATTAAAAATAGCAATGGCTTCTCATCTATCTGATAATTATATTACTTCTTCACTAAGTTTTTTTTTTTTGGGATCCTATCTAATTCAATATTTTTTTTAAGAGGGGTGTGGTGTTCGACCACGTTCTCGAATCGTTGGCGGATACCAAGCTGCTCCTAATTCATGGCCATGGCAGGCTATGCTTATGACCAGAGGACCTTTCTGTGGGGGCTCATTGTTGAGTCCTAACTGGGTGGTGACAGCGGCGCATTGCGTCGAGAACATTAATGAGAGAGACTTTAAGGTCAGGTAAGAACCATTTCATTTCAATTCGTGGCAAGTATTAATAGGTAAAGTAATACTATTCAGTCATTTTCGTTCTGAGTCGAACATTTGAAAAAGAAATGGTTTGTTTTAGGCACGAAACTTGATCTCTTAATGGTGCATTCTGCGCAATAAGTTAAATGCCTTTGAATGCCACAGATAAGCAATAAATGATATTCAACAAAGCACTATCAATTTGAAACATCGTTATTGCACCCGAGTTTATTGTAAAATCGTTCAGTGTCTTTTCGGTGATTTTTGTAATTGGAAAGGTTCAGACGATTGGGCAGTCTCGCTCTTATACTCCTAAATCTGGTGTTGCTCGTGTTTTCAGGAGGATAGGTTTGAATATCTTTCAGATAAAGAGAGCTACGTTGCTTCAACCAGAGCCACCTTGCCAAATTATTTTTGGAGGACTTTGAAAGACTCCATTTTAAAAATTTGTCGTCCCTTTCACCTTAAATAACATTGTCATGTATTCCCGTGTTTGAACCTGTTTCAGAAAGAAACAAAAATAAATTTGCCAAAAATATTGCAACAACTGTCACCATCTGAAAGAAATTTGTTCACTAGAGCCATATCAATTCATTTACAGTAAACTACGGAACATGCCCAAACATTGCTGCCCTCGCTTTTGATGTCTCTGAAAATTCCGTTAAAATGTCTTGTTTAGGCTTGGAGCACACCACAGGACCTCTGTGACTAACAGGGTACAAGACTTCAAAGTGCGACGCATCTATCGCCATCCATCTTACCACAAACCCGTGTCCTATGCGCATGATATCGCCTTGCTGCAGCTGGATCGCCCAGCCCGATTAAACGGTGCGGTCCAACCAGTGTGCTTACCCAATGACGGAAACCAGTATGGAAGGGAATGTACAGTGACCGGCTGGGGTCACCTACAACATGGCGGTGGTTCACCCGATTACCTCAATCAGGTAAATTCATAGGACAAGAAGCACTGTGTTTTTTCCAATTTGTGATAAGAGACAAAGGAAATGTTCGTATGAATCTTGGCTGTAGCCGCTTATGCATATAACGATATACCAATGCAACTGCAAGCTATGCGTGCTCCAAAAAGATTACGAATAAGGGAGATTCAGTCTGAGAAATGACACGCGCCGAACTCCGTGATTCCTTACACCGGAGGCGTTTAATATATTTCCTTATCTCTCACTTAATTTGTTTTGGCTTAGGTGAGCGTTCCCATCGTACCCTACAGTTCGTGCAAAAGAGTTTATGAAGGAAGAACCCATGAGAGTATGCTGTGTGCTGGTCTAATCTCTGGAGGAAAGGATGCCTGCCAGGGTGACAGCGGAGGACCATACGTGTGTAAAAACTGGAACGGCAGATGGTATCTGGAAGGGGTAGTCAGCTGGGGTGACGGGTGTGCCTGGGCGAATAAGTTGGGAGTCTATGCCAATGTTCGTTATCTGAGGGACTGGATCCAAAGAATAACAAGGTTATAGTAACATTCTCCGCTGTACATATTGCATGAAGCAGTACCAACACATCTTCAATTAAATAATTGAATGTTATATATCGTGTGTACTGTCATATATGAAATTTAAGGCCTATTGGGCATTACTATTTTTAATAACCTTACTTTAGGTTAGAGTATTTTGCCTCTTATGATTTTCTTTAGAAAGTTTCCGTTTCGATTCACTTAAACTTCTATTGTTTCTATGGATTTGCAAATAAGATCGTGGCACGCGCGGGTTTTTTTTTATTTACATCAACAACTAACAGAAGTTCTTAAACGACAATTCAAAGCCATGGACAAATACATGTACTTGAAGAGCATGCGCCACTCGAACCATTTGAGCGTTTAGGGCTACAATCATTTTTCCTCAAACATAAGCTGACTCGAGTTTTTCCGCCGCGACTATGATAACAAAAATTTTTCTTCCTGAGGTTTGTCTACTACGAAGGTGATGACAAGAAGCGCTAAACCGCCAATAGATTCTACGAACTTCATAGCCATGTTACGGATACTCAACTTCAGTCGCTAAATTCACAGCTATTACCAAAACACCTTTTTTCGTTTAGTGAGATATGTGACAGATACCTGTTTTGGTTTGATCCCTGGGAAACTAAAACAAGCAATGGGAATTTTAAAAACGCCGCTATCTTGCCTCGATATATGCACGTGCGCTCATTTTGCCTCAGGGTTAAATCCCGTCGAAGCCTGAAGATGATGCCTTTATTTAAGAAATAGTTGAGTTAGAACTTTTCAGTTCTTCAAAGTCCTTCCACAATGGAGGTAACACAATATTCCGGAGTAGCTTAAAAAGTATTGCCGTCTTCGCGGTTTTTTCCCCTCTGCAACCGCTTTTAGCCAACAGGTACATGCTGATTACAAGTGAAGATTGATTAGTATTCATAAAAAGGGGGAACTACTAACCACTTACACTAAACATTGGTCTCCTTTATGTCGTTCTCCAGTCTTTGCATCTCAGTCTCAGCACTCGATGATGACTCTTTCCGTCCTTTACTGTATTTACTATTACCTGAGGCGAGACAACTGATGCTGTGTTTTTTCGAACATTGAAAGTTAAACATTGATCTTACTTTCTTTCGTAACAACTGAGCATTAAGGCTTCCAAAGATAAATGGATCAATGGCACTATTTAAATATGTTAGAATGTGGCAGAATGGCATCACAACATCTAAACGTTCCCCTTCGCTTTTAGTGTCGAAGTCATGCCACAGCCAAATGACGTGGGTGGGTAACTGACATACTGCAAACACCATCACTGCAGCTATAAATGCTGCTATAAGTTTCGTATTCTGTCTGTGCCGCGATTGTGCGATTTCCCGCACCTGACGTATGGAAGTACCATAACATCTTACCATTGATTTCCACCTCTGGGCCTCCATCTGCACATACAGACCAATTCTTGTGTAGAAGATGGTGATGAGGGTTAGTGGTAAAAGGTACAGAACCGAGAAAACACTGACGGTGTAGATCCTGACGTGATCTCGACTTGGCCAATCTTCTACACACTTGCCATTCTTCATTTTCAAAATTAGGGTATACGGGGTAACCAGTAGAAAGCTCATTGCCCATGCAACGACAATGACTTTAATAATAAATCGGCTCGTTGGCTTACACTTAAAAGGTGTAACAACTGCTCTGTAACGTTCAATAGCCATGCAAAGTAGTGTGATGACGGACACAGCCATAAGAACGGTTTGGAAAGGGTAGACTAACTTGCACACGAAACCGTAGAAGGGCCACTGGTCTGAGAGGATCTCGGTGATGTCGAGTGGAATACTCACGAGGCCCACCGCTAAATCACTGATGGCAAGATTTAGTATGAAAAAGCTGCTGCTTCTGACTACTTTCCTCGATAGTTCAATCCAGCAAATTAAAACATTTCCCAAAACATTTAAAGGAACGATGACTGCAAAGCTTACTAACTGTGCAACGAGCAAAGGATCGACGTCAAAGTTCGATCGAGGGCTGGTAGAGATATTGACTATATTTTCCTTAGTCGTGTTTGCCATTTGAAGAAGCGGTACCACCTAGAAAACGAACACAAGAACATAATCGGAGAAAAATTCTATAGGCTCGTGTAATTTCTCTAACTGGTTTCTGTGTATTCATACCGTGGCACTTTATAAAATGAAGTTAGTAACTTACACGATATTTTCCTCTGTGTTTTCCTTCGATCCCTGTAATTTTTCTTTTTCTAATTGCCTTTTAACGACATTGACAGATAACAAATTAGTTAAATCCTGGCCTATAGCATTTCCCTGCCTGATATTCCGCTGACGAGAACAAGATTATACAGTGCACACCAACATGCAGGAAAAATTGCTTAATATAAAACTTAAAACTGGAAGAGATTAAGCTCATTACGAGCAGACGAAATGTCAATCGTTTCAGGCTATAGAACTCTTTTGCAATTCAGACCTCCGCGATATGTAAATTAGATACAAACTGTATGATAAATGCACCACCAATATAAATTAAGAAAAATTTTTATCATCTCTGGAAGGTTTTTTCTCGACAATCCTTATCTGAATAGCAACTTTCTTAATCATATCGAAACTATGGTTTCAAACTTAACGATCCTAACAGTATTGGACAAAAACACAGGGAAGGTTTTTGTGAGATAAGTTGTCGTTTACAAAAGGAAAAATGTTTGCTTTGAATAAAGCTGTGACATTAATTCCTACTCAGCAGGTATATTCTATGCCTTGGGGCAAGAAAGCAAAAAACACAGGAAATTTTGAAAAATTACCTTAGGCAAATCGGTATATAAATGTATCCTATACACCAGTCTTATCTACGTTGTTATAAACACATTGCTCTCAGTGAGTCTAACCGTTCTATCGCCAATACTGGTCGGAAAAATGGTAATAAAATGTAAGATATCCTTAAATATACCAGATGAAGGACGTCTGCCTCATTCGGATTTTCTCAGCTAGGACTATCGCTAAAAATCTTCAGATTCGGAAGAACAGTTTATTCAATCGGGCACGTACCAGCTGAATTTTAATTGTAACGGCAATTCATCTCTTAGCCAGATACGTTTAATTCTTTCAGTTCTCATTGGCTTCTTTCTTATCCACCTGTTTTCGGATTAACGGTCATACTAAACACTCATAAAAAAGTGCCTTAAAAGGTTCTTGTACCATTAAAAATCGAGTGTTAATTTAACCTTGAGTTTTTGTTTACCCAAAATAAGAATTAAGTACTTTTGGGGTGCAATTAATTGACTTTTAGGAGAGTATCTTAATGAATAACTAAGTCAACAGCAGTTGATAAGGCGTTGAAATTTTCGTTATTAGGTGGGTCATAATTTATGAGGAAAACTTCCTATAGTGACATTTATGATGGCTGATGGAGCGCGTAACGACGAATCCAAAGAATTTCCGAACGTCTCTGTAGAGATTCTTTGGCAAAATTCGCAAAATTTATAGCCCCGACGATGAGTCGCGCAGTTTCAGGATTATGCCAGACTTCTTTCGACAAGGATCTCTAAAATTGAGAAGTAGCATTTTCATCGGCTAATAAATAAAATTTATTTCATTTCAAATTGTATCCAGGGGAAAGAAGAACTTCCTAAAAATGTGCCCCGCTCTCGACGTCATATATATATATATATATATATATATATATTTGAACTCTTTATACTGATTACTGTTCATTTTTCTGTCTCATTGGGTTACGGCCGAAAATTCTAAAAGAAGAACAAAAATGTTAGATTAATTGATTTGGCTTGCAAAATGTTGATAAAGTGTCAGAGGAAAAAGATCTATCAATAATTTAACTTTACTAAAAGCACTCATATTCTTAGCTCTATCTCCTAATGAACAGCTCTCGTTCAAATTGTAACAAAATAAGTGCTTGGTTAGAAAAGAGTTTGGTCCATTGACGGGGTTGGAACTTAACCCAAATAGAATAAGCGCATTTCGTAGTATTGGTCAAAAGGAAAAGTTCCCGCAGCACAGTGGGTAGAACTTCTGACCGCACCGCAGCGGTCCGTGGTCAGGGTTCAAACCCTGGCGCGGGAAATCTTGTGATTTTTGGTTTTCTCGTCATATTTTTTCTCCCAGCCGATAATACGTCTTTAATGTACTCATATACTGATACACATATTATTTATCATCGAATAGATTGCCCGCTTTTTCTCAAGATGTGAAGTCGATGTGATGCATCAGAACAAAAATACCGTAAAATTTCGGTTACAAGCCCAGGGCTTATACAACTTCGTAAGGGGTTTATTGGGTGGGCTTATAAACGGAGGGGCTTATATCCGCGGTGGCGGAATAAAAAAAAACGTTTCGAAATGAGCCACAGCAGTGTTGATGGAAATACTTTTACTAATTTTTGATTAAACTTTCAAGCCTCATTATATGTCGAATGTAATTCTATTTTAGGAACAAAATCAAAATTAACAACTTAAATGTAACCGGAACGCAACAAACCGGAAGTTAAAAATTATAATGTCCAGTTCACGGCGGCGAGGCTTCCTGCATTTAATTCTTTCAGTTAATTTGACATCATCTTAGTTCACCGAGTGACCTGACTTTATGCTACGAACTCATCGCCATCATCATCGTAAACGTCTTTGTCTGAGTCATCACTCTCAAGATGAAACTCTACATCATCTTCAAGGACTTCGATTCATCAAGTGAGGGCATCTTGTAATCGGGAATCCCTTCGATGTTAATTTTATTATTTTCCCATCCACTGAGATCCAGAGAAATTCCGCATTTCTTGAATCTTCTTACGATGGCATTTTTGTTTTCACTCACTTCCCGCCACGCTCTACCCTTCCACTTGGTCAGACGACCTCGCCTGTATGATGCAGTCAGTTTGCCTTCAGTATACAACTACAAATTTTGTGTTCGAAGTAGTACAGGGTTCTGCAAGAGTGACTTAATATTAGGAAAACAAAGAAAACTAGAGGGGGCTAATATTCGGGGGGGTTATATTATAACCGGATAAATATTTTTGTTTCCAAGTAGAACTTTTACAGCTAACGATTGAAATTTTGGCCAATTTACAGTTGACGATTAATAACTTTCCATTGCGGTCACCAGAAATGTCTTTTTTTAACGGTTTTTTTAACTACTGACGTTTACAATTTGTCAATTTTTACACCTAGAAATTAGCTTTTTAGCCATTTTACAACTATCGGTTAACCCTATTTAGACTCTCTAATAAAGGAAAATAGGTAATCCTTCATAAAATCAGCAAATCTAAGTGGAAAGAGTTTCTTCTTACCTACTGAGTCAATTGCAAACCATTGCAAAGGAGATCTTTTTCATTCTCTGGAATAGCGCATATGTTTCAAGGCTTGATCTTTGCAGTGCATAGGACACCTAAAACATGACTTTAAAATTCAGACTGCGTTGTCGACAAGTTCGCCGCAGTTCAGTGGGTAGAGTATCTGACCGCACCATGTTGCGGTCCGTGGTCAGGGTTCAAACCCTGGCGCGGGGAATTTTTTCATTTGGTTTTCTCATCACATTTTTTTCCTAGCTGATAAAATGTTTTCAATGTCCTCATGTGCTGATGCACATATCCTTTACCAACGAGTAGATTGCACGCTTTTGCTTAAGATGTGATGCATCGGAACAAAAATTACTCATTCATATAAGAGGGTCTCAGTGGGGTGATAGCTTTTACGGCTTATGGTTAATATCTCTCCTATGTGGTCTCTCCTATATGTTTTTTAAAGACTTACGGTTAAAATTTGTCAGTTTTTACGTCTAACGCCTACTTCTTTGGCCGTTTTACAACTATCGGTTAACCCCATTGAGACTCTCTAATAAAAGAAAATAGGTAATCCTTCATAGAAATTACAAATGTAAGTGGAGAGGGTTTCTTCTTACTAATTAGGTCAATTGCAAACCATAGCAAAGGAGATTCTTTTCGTCCAATGAAATAGCACTTTTATTTCTTGGCTTGATCTTTGCAGTGCATAGAAAGCCTAAAACATGAGTTTAAATTGAGCCTGAGATGTTGACAAGTTCCCCGCAGCTCAGTGGGTAGAGCATTTGACTGCACCATGTTGCAGTCCGTGGTCAGGGTTCAAATCCTGGCGCGGGGAATCTTGTCATTTTTGTTCCT